TCTCTCTCTCTCTCTCTCTCTCTCTGTAGATTTATAATGTTTTTTCAACCTATCTATACTACCTGCCTGGAACCCATAGAAAAGTAATGAAAAATGTGTCTGAAATAAAAAACGATATTTTAGAAAGAGTAAAGGAGCACCACAAGTCACTGGACCCCAACTGCCCCCGAGACTTCATCGACTGCCTGCTCATAGAGATGGAGAAGGTATCCTCACGACATAGTCTGTGAAGCCAAGTGCAGCTGTTATGAAATTGGGGTGTATGTGTGTGTGTGTGTGTGTGTGTGTGTGTGAGAGAGAGAGAGAGAGAGAGATTTATATTATATTATATTACATTACATTATATTTTATATTGCATTATATTATTATATTGTATTATAACCTGCACTGCTGGTGCCCAAACTGCCCTCACTGGGCCCTTTGTGATGCTTTCAGTTTCACACAAGCACACTGGCTCCAGCATGGCCACCACACACTGTGCCCACACCAGCCAACAGCCTGCCTGGCTGACCTTCACCACCACTGCACTGGCCACCGCGCTGTCCAACAGGACGGTCTTTCTCAGGGAACTGGTCAGGGGCTGTGGGACCAGGTTTGTGGGTCCCTCACATTGGCTGCCTCCAGGCTCTGTTTCCTAACCACAACTGTGTCCCATATGAGGAGAAGCCCTCGGCGTCCCTCATTAGTACATAAACCCCAATTTGTGCATGACTTAAAGGGGTCCCAGGCCTACCCAGCATCTGCCTGAGCCTCTCAGACCCCCAGCCCAGGTAGGTGAAGCCTCTTCTTTTTCCTTTGATGTCACTGGTGTCTCTAATCAGCATGTGACTCCACACCTGATTTCACTAGATAATGGGCTTTGGTTATCTGAGAAACCCATCCAGGAGTCGGTCCCCTCACTGCCTTTCCAGGTGTCTGGGTCTTAGGGACGTCCCTCCCTTCTGGGATCCAAAGATGCTTGCTGTGGGGGCTGAAGGAGGCCGAGGGCAGCCTCTGAGATTCTTGGGTTGTTAGCGGAGGCCCCATACCTCAGCCTTGGGCTACAGAAGGTCATAGCACAGGACCAGGAAGAGCCTCACTCCCAGGATGGCCCTCATGGCTATAGAAGGGGCACAGTCCCGCCCATGGCTAGTTTCCTGGGCGCCGAGGTATCACTGGCTGTGTAATGGGAATGACTATCTCCACAGGACAGCCTGTGTGCACCTGCCCCTCCTCACTGTGCAGCTGGCAGGGCTGCCGGGCTCTCTGCTGATGAGGGACACAGGGCTCTCTTTCTTGTTCACCGGAAGATGTCCCATTATCAACTTTCTGTCTGTCTCTAACATCTTCAGGAAAAACAAGGTGCAGAGCCTGTGTACACCTTGGACAACATTGCAGTGACCGTAGCCGACCTGTTGTTTGCGGGGACAGAGACCACCAGCACCACTCTGAGATACGGGCTTCTGATTCTCATGAAGTACCCAGACATCGAAGGTATGTCAAGTGACAGGCAAGGATGCCAGGGCTGTGAGGCTGTCACACCTGGACTGTCAGCCTAGAGTGTTTAGGCTTCAGCTTTCTGTCTGCAAAGCGGGAACCGGCATTGCTTAACTCTTGCAGGACTGGCACTTGGGATAGATGGACAAATTCTTTTTTTTTTTTAATATGCAAGCAGGGTTTATTAGTGGTATGTTCTCAGGGAAGAGAATGTGACTAGCCGAGGTTGTGGAGAGAGAGAGAGAGAGAGAGAGAGAGAGAGAGAGAGAGAGAGAGAGAGAGCACGCCTCCTTGTCCTGAGGACTCAATGGACAAATTCTTTGAAGGGAATTGCTCTTGTACATGACCCTGGCTCCTGCCCCACCACCACCTTTACCCTGCCATGGTGCTGGCACCTGCGACTCAGGTGACCCCAGATGCAGCAGAGGTGCCCACCATCCCAGGGACCCTGGCAGCAGCACAAGAATGAACACAGTGGCACCTTTCCCAGAGGCAGCGGAGGGTGGAAAGTGCAGCCTGTCAAACAGAACTGGAGAAAACGCAGGTAGGAGTAATTGAAAACATGTGCTTTAGTGCCACCTACTAGAAAACAGAAGAAAGGCCTGCAATTATCAGCCTGCTGAATTCAAAATCAAAGTACACAAAGCCTTATCTACAAAAGAGAAGTGTTTGCTACTACAGATGCGGGGCAGAGGGCCAACCCATCCATCACCACGATAAATCACGGTAACACGGTATCACAGAACGTAACAATTCTCCAGAAAACAAACTCAAAGTCACAGAAGGTTGTGATCTAACTGGTAGCAAATTCAACATACCTGTCATGAAGAAACTCAACAAGCTACAAGAAAACTCAGAAAGACCATTCAATGAGCTCAGGAAAAATTGAGGAAGACACAAGTAAATGGAAAGATACCCTGTGTTCATAGATTGAAAGAATTAACATTGTTAAAATGTCCATACTACCTACAGCAATCTACAGATTCGATGCAATCCATATTGAAATCCCAATGTCATTTTTCACAGAAACAGAACAAAAAATCTTAACATTTGTATGGAAACAAAAAAGACCCCAAATAGCCAAAGTAATCCTGAGAAAAAAAGAACAAAGCTGAAGGTATCACACATCCTGATTTCAAATTATACTACAAAGCTGTAGTAACCAAAACAGTGTGGTACTGGCAGAAAAACAGATAGATCAATAGAACAGAATCAAGAGACCAGAAGTAAACTCACACATATATGGACAAATAATATACAACAAAGGAGCAAAGAGGAGACCATGGAGAAAGGACAGTCTCTTCAATAAATAGTGTTGGGAAAACTGGACAGCCACATGTGAAGAAATGAAATTCAAATAATATCTGACACTAAAGTTAACTCAAAATTGATTAAAGATGTTAACATAATACCTGAAACCATGTAATACATAAAAGAAAACAGGTGGTGGTAAGCTCCTTGACACTGGTCTTAGTGATGTTTTTGTAGATTTGACTCTAATAATTTAAACAGGCAAGGGAAACAAAAATAGAAATAAACGAATAGGACAACATCAAACTCAAAAGCTTCAGCACAGCAAAGGAAACCATCAAGAAAGTGAAAAGACAACCTGCTGAATGGGAAAAGATAGTTGCAAATCAGACATCTGATAAGGGTTCAATATCTAAATTATATAAGGAAGTCATACAACTCAACAACAACAAACTAACAACCTGATTTAAAAATGGGCAGAGGACCTGAATAGACATTTTTTCAAAGAGTACATACAGACAGCCAATAGGCACATGAAAGATATTTATCACTAATCATCAGGGAAATGCAAATCAAAACCACAATGAGAGTCACACCTATTATGATGGCTATTATCAGAAAGACAAGAAATAACTAGTGTTGGCGAGGATGTGGAGAAAAGGGAACCCTCGTGCACTGTTGTGGATGTAAACTGGTGCAGCCACTACGGAAAACAGTGTGGAGAATCCTCAAAACATTAGAAATAGAGCCACCTTAGGACCCAGCAATCGCACTTCTGGGTATTTATCTGAAGAATATTAAAATGCTAATTGAAAAAAATATATGCACCTCTACATTCATTGCAGCATTATTTACAACAACCAAGATATGGAAATAACCTAAGTGTCCATCAGTGGCTGGATGGATAAAGAAGACGTGTGGTATGTGTACACACACACACACACACACACACGAATGGAACATTATTAAGCCATAAAAAGGTTGTAATCTTGCCATTTGCAACAACATGGGTGCACCTGTAAGTTACTACACCAAGTGAACTAAGTCAGATGGAGAAAGACAAATGCCATATGATTTCACTCATATGTAGAATATAAAAAACAGAACAAAGGAACTCATAGAAACAGACAAAAGATCAGTGTTTACCAGAGGCTAAAGGGGGTGGAGGGAGCGTGTGAAGGATAAGGGGGTCAATTATATGGTGATGGTGGAAAGTATACTTTTGGTGTTGAGCACAACATATAGATGTTAAATTTTAATGTTGTACACCAAAAACTTACATAATGCTATAAAGCAGTGTTACCTCAATAAAAAATAAAAAAAGATGGTGGAGGCCAAAACATGCTGAAGACTATAACTTCATAGAGGTTAGCTTTTAGTGACATTTGCAAAGGGGTTATCCAACAATCCAGAGTACTTGGGGCACCCCAAAGCACTGCGCTGGGAGGACGGGTGTTGAGTCAGCCTGGAGTCAGTCCTTCACATCTGTCCATTCGTATCTTGGCAGAGAAACTTCACGAGGAAATTGATAGGGTGATTGGGCCAAGCCGTATCCCTGCCATCAAGGACAGGCTGGAGATGCCCTACATGGATGCTGTGGTACATGAGATCATGCGGTTCATCAACCTCGTGCCTTCCAACCTGTACCACAAAGCCACCCGGGACACAGTGTTCAGAGGATACGTCATCCCCAAGGTCAGCTGTGAATCTAGACTGCACACCCTGAGCAGCATCCTAGCGGCTGTGCTGCTCTCCTGCCAGGGAGCACGATGGGGTATCCAAGGGAACCTCCTTACGGCAGATGTGGCCGAACTGTGGGAGCTGGGCCAGCAGAGTGCTGCCTTGCCAGCAGTCCTCACATGGACCCTGTAAGCACAGAAACGGAGGAAATATAGAAAAGGGACTCCTCAGATAGTGCCAGGGCTTTGTGGTATATTCTGACATCAGAAACCAACAACAGTAACATCCAGCTCTGGAGTCACTCCTCTGAAGAGCTCAGAGCTCTCTCGCTGTTCACATCTGACCCTGAGGCTTCCTGTCTTGTCCTTAAGCAAACACCTTCCCCCACTGGAATCGTATTATCTGTGTGAGGTAAACCTCAAAACAATGGGCTTGCACATCAAAGGCCATGGTTGGCTAACTTGACTGACTGAGACAGCCTTTATCCCTTCTAGGGCACAATCGTAATTCCAACACTGGACTCCCTCTTGTACGACAAACAAGAATTCCCTGATCCAGAGCAATTTAAGCCAGAGCACTTTCTGAATGAAAATGGAAAGTTCAAGTACAGTGACCATTTCAAGGCATTTTCTGCAGGTAAGAAGCGTTCCAATGTAGCACCTTCCTCAGGGATTTGTCCCAAATTCTTGCCCTCTGCTCTGTGTGTGATCTCTCATCATCCCAGACCTACATCATGTCCCCACTTCTACCACCAACATGATCCAAATGTGTTCTTCCCTGTTCAGAGAGGTTAAATGACATCTTTTCACCAGAAGTCCTGGGAGTGAGGTGTTGCGGATGAATTATTTTTCCATACAGTGGATATTTCACTTTCAGTGCTAAAACTGTTTATCTGTTTAAGAGGACCTACTGGAAAATCCTTCAGAACTGTACTACCTAATTCTCCATAGGGTTACCATACAAAATCTAATGCTTCATTACCTGGGTTCATCATAAGACCACCCAGCCTTCTTTGGGCTGTGACTCAGTGTCTCCCTCATGGACCATTGGCCTCCTTCCCAGAGTCTTCCCTCTGGTGTTGGTGTGAGGGCCAGTCATATGACCAACTTGTAACTTTCACACTGATGTGGCAGCGTTGGCCTTTTTCCTGTAGGACACTGGGGTGAGCATGGGGTAGGCAGGGGCCATCCTTCAACCCAGCGTGGGTTTATGCAGCCAAGCCTTGGTGACTGAGGTGTGTGAAGGCTGGTCCCTGGCGTTCTTATACTGAAATCCACCCCGTGCTTCCTTTCAATGGCAGAGAGGGGTCCATTTCCTTAGGGCTGCACTTTGCCCACAGCCTGCCCCCCCCCCCAGCTCCTGAGCTGCTGTTTCCAAGAGCTGCCGCAATGTCTCATGTATACTGTTTTCACTCCAGGAAAGCGGGTGTGTGTTGGAGAAGGCCTGGCTCGCATGGAGGTGTTTCTGTTCTTGACCGCCATTTTGCAGCACTTCCGCCTGAAGCCGCTTGTTGACCGCAAGGATATTGACCTCAGCCCCATCGTGAATGGGTTTGCCAGCGTCCCACACCCATATAAACTCTGTGTCCTTCCCCGTTCGTGTGAGGCCCGTTCACTCTGAAGATGGTAAAATGGGCATGCTAGAAGCCGCTTTCTTTGTGCAGAGCATGAGGCTGAGCAGGCTATTTATGCAAAGCACGGCACACTGAAATCTCTGTGCATGTCCTTAATAAAACGAATCATGTTTCAAAACCAGCATCTTCCAATCTCTCTCTGACCAACCCCCCAGCCTATCTCTTGTAGGGATCCTGTGATAACCTGGGGCTCTCCCAGATAACCCAGGATAATCTCCCCATCTCAGGATCCTTAGTCACATATTCAGTCCCGTTTGCTGTCAGGTAACATATTCACAGGCTCTGGGATTAGGATGTGGGTGTCACTGAGTATATCATTCCACCAACCACTTTCCACGCCACCCACCTTGGGGCGTGACCAAAATCCAACTTCAACAGACTGGCAATTCAGCCAGCTAAAGACAGCTGTCCCTGCCTGATAGGGGCCTGTCCTCATCATCAGACCCATGCAGTGGTGATGCTGCTGCTAACAGAAAAACGGAAGACTACTTTGGGGATTTCAATTTCAGGAATATCTTAGGAAAACTCTATAAAGTGCTCAAAAATGATAGGAAAATGGAGGAGAATGGATGCCTTTGAGCATGAACGTCTCACTGACCCAGGCAACAGCATTTGGCTGTTACCAGTGTTAGTTTGACTTCCTGGTCAGCACATTCCAGAACTGTGGATTTACATGCCAATTTCCCAAGCCTCAGCGATTACAGGTCCTGTCATCTCCTCAAGGGTGAGCACTGGCCAGGAGGTGATATTGGGTCATTGGGAAAGTCATGACGTATTTTTCTATGCTTTTCAATGCAAAAATGTGTCATGACTTTTCCAACAACCCAATAGTATTTATTATAGGGTATCATGGAGAAGAGGAAACATCATTCAAGGACACGGTTGTGTCATGTTCAGTGGAATTTTGACCTTTTTGTTGCCTTTATTTGGAGACAAAGTATGATTTAAGGAGATGCATATGGATGGCAAAGTGACAAGGGGTGGACTGTTACGATGGCTAATTTTGTGTCAACATAACGGCCATGGGTGCCCAGATGTTTGTTCAGGCACTACTCTGGGTGTGTCTGTTTCTGGATGAGATTAACATCTGAATTGGTAGACTTTGAGTAAAGCAGATTGCTCTCCCCAATGTGCTGGGCCTCACCCAATCAGTTGAGGGTCTGAATAGGACAAAAAGTCTGAGTGACGGCTGAGCTGGGACATTAGTCTTCTCCTGCCCTCAGACTTCTGCTCACACCGTCTGTCCTGGTTCTCAGGCCTTCTGCTTGGGGCTGGAACTTGTCCATCAAACTAGCTGACTGCAGGTCTTGGAACTGCTCAGCCTCCGTAATTGTATGAGCAATTCCTTGTATTTAAATTGATTCTGTTTATGTGGAGAGCCCTAACATACCCCATATTGAAGTCAGTCATAAAGTGTTTCTCAAAAATTGCTTTTTACATTTACACATATTGATCTTTTGGTATATGATCTAGGGACCAAATGTTATTACTTCTTTCTTAACAGATGTGTTTGATCCAGCGACATTTACTGAGAAATTGAAATGACTCAGCAGGGTCACCTTGGTAATTCCTGTGTGCACATGTGCACCGGGCTCTTCCTCCTCTCGTGCCAGCTGTCTGTCCTTCCTTCAACACTACAGGGTCTTACTGACTGTAGCTTCGTAGTGTTTTCATATCCTGTAGACACCTTCTCGCCGTGTTCATCTTCACAGCATGTGGGCTGTGCTTGGACCTTTGCGTTCCCACATGCATGCATTTTACAATCATTCTGTGCATTCGCACCAAAGGCCTGCACAGTTTTCATTGAGATTGCCATGATTCATGTATCACTGTGGGCAGAAATGGCACCTTTACAGTGAGTTTCCAATTTATGAGCACTGTCTACCTTCGTTTATGTAGGTCTTTCAAAAATTTCTGTGAACTGTAGTTTTCTAAGAGGTTGCCTTGACTATCATTACATTAATTCCTAGATACATGGTATTTTATGCTATTGCAAATGTCTATTTTAAAATTTCATTTTGTTATTTGTTGCTGCTTTGTTCCAGCATGCCTGCAACTGGCTGTTTTGCTGGACCAGAATGTGCATCTGCATGACCTCTGACCTCTGGACTGTAGAGTAAGCTGACTTTGGGTGTAGTTCATACCAGTTGGTAATCCCTGTTTCCTGACTAAAAGTGAAATTTATGATTGACCAGGTTCTCACCTAGTGTTGGTGAGAACATGGAGGGCTCTTCTGCTGGGCTGGTTTGCAGCAAGATTATGCCCATGTTACGAGCAGGGTATAAAGCCCGGCTACACTCCACCTGGGGTTTGCTGCTTCCTGATGTGAGTGTGGACAGGAAAACTGGAGTCCGTGGCCTGTCTCCCGGCCACTTAAGTGAAGCAGCCTTTGGTTGAGGTTCTCAAGCTCACCTGATGCAGGCCCTTCCTGTAGGACCATTGCTACATTGTATCACTTCCTTGCAATAGAGATTCCAGGCACTGTTATTTTGGGTCCTGTGCCCTGGTCTATACACATAAATTAAATTTTAAAATATTCACCTCTGTTCAGCAACCTTGTATATTTATTTAGCCATTCTGTAATTTATCTGTAGATGCTGCTACATTTCTAAAGTACATAAGCATAAATCGTTACGCCTTCATTTCTGTCCTGTTTCACTGTCTAGAGCTTCCAGCAGGTAAATAGTATTTGAATATGCCTGAAATGCTTTAAATGTTTCACCCATAAGTATAAAGGAAGTTACCTTCTATACCTAGTTTTTTTTTTTTAATAAATAGGTATTACATGTAAAGGCCTTTTATTCATCAGTTTAACTGTTTTTTGTTGTTGTATTTTATTGTGAACCAACTAAACCTACAAAAGTAGTTCTAATCATGGGCTTAGCTGAATTGCAGTTTTTAGAAATGTTTCCATTTCATTCAGGTGAATGTACTGTCTTAATTCTCATGAGACCTAAGATTTATTTTGACAGGGTATTGCCAGTTTTTTTTGTGTAACACAGGTACGATTAACCCCATCTCATAGCCAGAAAACCTGGAGGCTGGGTTTGGGGTTCGATGCCCAAGGCCTCTGGCTGAACAGCTTCCCAGTGTGTCCTTTCACGGGAACGGTGCTTTTCAGTCTGGGGGCTGTTTGGGTAGCTTTCCAACTCCATCATGTTACTGTCCTAGCTGGGTGTGGGACCCTTTCAAGAAAAAGAATCTCTTTGTATGTAACTAATTTTTTACCCAGAAGCACAGTCTTTGACGCTCATCATTGTCCTTCATCGGTGGGCCCATTTTGGATTTGAAACAGGCCTTGGAGTACACAACAACAGTCCTTAGTGAGTGATGCCGTTTCTAATATATTCATGGAACAAGTGTCTTGGTTCTATATTTTGTGTCCATGAGAGCACAAACTACAGTCAGCCTCCAATTTCATTTTTCTCAGCTAATCAGTGGGGGACTGTGAGCAAATAACGGACTGGCTGAGGTCCTTAGCTCCTTGGTCCTCATTGTTGGGATTTCTGGGGTTCTGTGTATTCCAAACCTGAATAAGGAATTGAAGAAACAATCCCAGGGTGGTTTTGGAGAACGCCTGAGCTTATTGTGAGCGTGTCTCAAGCCTGCGTCCCTCGGCCTGGGGACCCAGAGTGGTGTGTCAAGTCCTAGAAATGAGCACACCAGAAGCTATGAGGTTAAAGCCGCATTTGCTGAGCAGCTGCTGTGGGAATCAGGCTGAGGCTGGGAGGCAGGGTGCGGCCAAGGCTTCCCCCACTCTCAAGGTCCAGGGGTCTTGGGCCGGACAAGCGCCAACCCTTCAGCATAGACTCAGCTGAGGCAGTTGTATTGAAATAGTGTCTTTATTTCCCAAAGCGCATGGAATGAGTGCCAGGGCAGGGTGGGTCCTCCTCGCCTAGGAGGGTATCAGGCCCTGCTTGGCGGGCAGCTCTGGGTCTCTCTCCTCACTGAGTCCGAGGGGCTTGGGCCTGGCCTGTGGGAGGTCAGGGTCTGAGACGGGGGCCTCCATGCATCCCTGTACGCACACCCTCCCTGGGGCCTGCCCCTTCCCACCCGGCCCCTGCCAGCCTCTGTGCCTTTGCCTTGGCTGTGCTCCTGTGGCAAGGCCCTTCCCCAAAGACCGTCCTCTGAGGACTCCCCGGAACCTCTCCTTGCCTTCCCGCCCCCCTGCCCCTTTCACAAGCTGTCTCTGTCCCCCGCCACCCGATACCAGGCTCACAGCGTCTCCTGAGCCAGCCCTTTCCTCTTGCTTGTTCTGGGCCTGAGCAGGGACCTGCACTGCGAGCTTTTCCAGTTCCTCCTTCAGCCTGGACAGAAGGGTGAGGGGGAGGCGAGGAAGGACAGAAGGGTGTGAGAGGCCAGGAGAGACTCCCTCGGCCAAGCCGCCCTTGTGGACTGCCGCGAGGGCTCCATGCCCACCTCTGCCTCTTCTGTTGCAGCTGGGCGTGGTGCTGGGCGGTGTCCTCCAGCAGCTGCCGGGCCCTTCTGTTCTCGTCCTCAAACAGGTGCCTGAGGGTGGGGCCATCAGTGCGGCAGCTTCCTCCCTCCGCCCCGTCCCCCCGACCTGGTCCCACTCTTACACCGCAGATGCTGCCTCCTGGCTGCGGAGGAACAGCCCCTCAGCGATGGCTGAGTGACCCTTAGCTCCAAACTGGGAGCACAGACGGAGCTTCACATCTTCCAACTTGGCCTCCGCCAGCTTCTCTGCAGTAGGAAAGGAAAGGTGGGTGTGGCGTGGTGTGGCGTGGCCAGACTGGACAGGGTGGGGTGGGGCATGGCGTGATGGAGCAGGCCTCACCTTCCTTAAGCAACTGCTCCTTGCTGCTGTCCAGTGCACCAATCTCCTGGGCCAGTTGCTCTGGCCGCTGAGGGGATAGAAACGTCCATCCACAACTCCCAGCTGCCCCCACGCGCCTCAGATGCCTACCTGGACCTAGTCTTTACTCAGCACGCCTCAGTTCCTACTACAGCGGCCCTCCCTGCATGCCAGGCACAGTCCAGCCTCGGGGCGTATGCACTGGCCACTGCCCTTGCCTGTCACTGTTTCACCCCAGACACCTACAGTGCTGTGCTGGAGAGGCTGATGAGGCGGTTACCATTCAGAAGCTTTGCAATCAGCCCTGGGGTGATCCTGCAAACACTGTTAAGTCAGGGTGGTTCTCTGCCGAATCAGTTAGCAGGCCAGTACTGCGCTCCTGTCCCTGTGTGGCCTTCCGTCCTGACATTCATCCTCTCTGCCTATCTTCTTGTTTACAGCCTGGATCCCCCGGTGGCAAACACTGGCGTGCTTGGTTCTCCGCTGTCTGCCCTATGCCTGTGATGGCCCCAAACACACCCACGGACCTCCTTGATGGACAACCTCTCCTTGGCTCATCAGGGCTCCTCCTGACCACTGAAGGGCCTGGGAGGGCAGCAGGCATGGGTGGGCTGGACCAACTAGAGGGTGAAGCCTGTGGTGAGGACGGCCTAAACTGGGGGCCATTTTGACATGGCTATCAGGGCTTGCTCAGGAATGGGGTGTGGCATGTGACGGGAAGGGATCCTGGAGGGTGACCCTGAATTGGGGGCCTCGTGCTGCTGGGGAAGATGGGGAAGGTGGGAGGAGTGGCATTGAGTGACTCACGTGGAATTCCCAGAGGTCCTTGTGCTGGCCCATCAGCTCCTCCAGCTGGTCCTCGAAATGCAACCTGGGGGCCGACAACATGGGATGAGGGGCTGAGGGTTCAGGCCAGGCCTCCTCACACACACACCGAGGTGGGGCCTGCTGGTGCTCTTTGCTCTGCTGGCAGCGACCCCACCCCTGGTGTCACCGCCACCACCACCCCACCCCGCCCAGGCACTGGGCTTTACCTCAGCTGCCTCTGTTTGCTCTTCTCTTCCTCGATCTGGGAGTTCAGGGCAGAAATGCGCTCCTTGCACTCCTGCAGCACAGTCTGCTTCCTGGGAAGAGGCAAGGCAGCCCTCAGTCATGTTCTCTGGATGTGTCCCTAGGATGGGCTGGGGTGAGGCTTTTGCCTCCTTCTCTTGAGTCAGTGCTAGCCTTCTATTGGGTTGCCGGAAAAGTCATGACGTTATTTTTTTTGTTTTTCATTGGAAAAATGTGTCATGACTTTTCTGACAGCCCAATAGAGTGAAGTACTCTGTAATTTTGCGGGGCATGAGCATGTGGCCCCTGCACATATCTCTGTGAGGGTTAGAGATCGATATGGGCGTGGTCAAGCACAGAAGCACACACACTCAATCTCATCTGAGTTTCTCAAACTGTACTAATCTGCGTCTGCCAGGGTGGGGCTTCTGGTCCCAAAAAGAGCTAAGTAAGTGTTCAGGAGGCAGAGAGAGGGACGCACAGATAGCTGGGTGGACGAAAAGATAGTGGACAATAGAGACTGGGTGGGCAGATGGCTGGCTTGATGCCTCAATGAAGGGACAGATGGACAGATAAGAGAAGAGACAGCCACAGGACCTGTGGGACAAGCACAAGGCACAAGAAAACCCAGCTGAAGGAATGTAATTCATATTCCAGCAAATGAATGATTATCCCAGTGAGTGGGACAGCCCATAAGTCGACTGCCCACTGCTGGAGCCGTGGAGGAAGACACTCGTGGCCTTTCCATGTCACAGAGGAAGAAACTGAGAGCAGTGGGCCTTAGCCCTTTGTCCCATTTTCACGGATCCACCAGAAGGCACAGGAGGGCAAAGCAAGGTCCTGGCGGGGCTCTTACCTCTGGGCCTCACTTTCCTTCTCCTGGCAGTGGAGCCGAAGGATCTTCAGGGTCTCTGCAGGGAGAGGGACCGACAGCCCCACGAGAGGTATCAGCTTTGGAGAAGTAACGGGGCCACATCATGTGTAGTCTCGTGGGACCTGATGGAACTGTGTGATTTACTGCAAGTCTGGTGGAAGCCACAGGAAGGATGCAAGGGTTTCAAAAGTTTTGGGCTGCTATGGGGAGAGCTTCTGCAGGGTGACAAAGGCAGAAGCCTGGACACAGATGGGCTGCAATTACCTTGCTTTTGGCTCAAGATCTCTTCCAGGCGTACTTTCTCGCCACTCACTGGAAAACACAGTAACATGTTCAGGTATCAGGGACATCCAACTGCACCTTCAGTCACATGGGTGGTGGTACAGCCCTGTCCCCAACCCCAAATGTGGACCCTTCAAGCTAAGTAAGCCCCTCCCTTCTGGTACCCATACTCCCAGGAAGCACCAAAAGGCCCTGACGTTGATAAAGGGTGACTGGAAGGGCCCTGCAGAAGCCAGTGCATTTACACAGAGGGGAGAGAAAAAAAAACTGGGATAAGAACTGTGAAGAAACACATCAAGCCACCTGCAGTAAGGGGCATGTGACCAGGTGCGGGCAGGGTGTCCTCAAGATAGGATGACTGGAGAAGGTCTCAGAATGGGACATCAGAGCTGAGAAAGGAATGCTGATGTAAAGCAGCAGGAACCTGCATTATTGAGGGAACAAACCTAGCAAAGGCCTAGAGGTGGGAGTACGCTTGAAGGGTGTTTTGGGAACACTCCCACCCACACTGGGAGGGGGTAGATTCTCTGGTCTCAGGAGACCAGAGAAAGGGCAGGGCCCTTGGCCACAGCAAGGATGCTGGGTGTCTGCAGTACTGGGTTCAGGGGACATGACACCGTAGGCCCTCCGGCTGACACCGGCACACTTACGTGAGTCCAGTTCCTTCTGCAGGGCCTCCCAAACGGTCCGGGCCTCTCCCAGCTCCTCGCTGGCTTTCTTTTTTGCTGTACCAAAGAGCAGAAGGATAGACGCTGTGTAAGTGCAGCCTGCAGCTGCACCATCCTTGCAAAGTGACATTTCACAGCTGTCTTCAAGCAAACCTAGACAGGCCGAGACATTACAGAGCAGGAAACGAGGCTTCCGGAGCCCTTCCTGTTGGGCTCAGTTGCAGCAGGGCCAGCTTAATGGAGAGGTGACTACAGCTGCTGCATTGACATGGACCTGTGCTTGGTTGAACACTGCCATGGTTGTCGGGAAGGACTTAGTAATTTACGAACAAGGGGCCCTGCAACCCACGTGGCTGGTCCTGGCTGAGGAGCCAAGGTCCCTGAGCTCACCTTGCTGGACCTTGTTGACCCGGTTAATCAGGACCTCAACCCTGGGCTCTAGGTTTCCAGCTGCAGGGAGGAAGGGAGGCTGAGTAAAGATGACAGCGCAGCAGCAGAGCAGGGGGGCTCTGCAGGGGCTCACATTCCGGTAGGGGAGACAAGGAACAGATAAACAGAGATACTGAGTCAGGCTGTGGTAACTACAGTCAAGAGAAATAAATTGGCAAGGGATTTAAGACCGAAGGAGAGGGACATGCTTCTTCAGATATGGGAAGGCCTCCTGATGGCCCCAGATCCAGTGAGGGCCAGGCCCTGCAGCTCCCTGGGTGGGGGTGGGAGTGGGAGGTGTCTGCCCTGGGTGGGCACACGGCCAGGAGGGGCCTGGTGATCAAACAGAGTTGATGTGCAGGAGGGGTGAAAAAGTCAAGGTGAAAACCTGAATACAGTTTGCAGTTGGCAAGAGGCTTGCAGCTAGGTTTTTGGAAAATGTTTAGCCACCTATGCCCTTCTACTTAACATTGTGAATAATGGGGCCATATTGTCATTTCAAAGAATTAACTTTTAAAAGTAAAAGCAAATGAGTTAATTTCCCAAGGTTGTGAACTGTGGGGACTGGAATTGAATCCACTTCTGCCTGACCCGAAACCTCAGCCCGAATCTCAGTTACAAAGGAGACAAGGACCTTTCTGCAACTTCTTCACCATTTCCATCAAGTCTTCAATTTTCTGTGAGGACTTGGCCTGCCCTGTGGAGACAAAACCAAACATTTCATCATCCTATGGGAAGGAAAGGCTTGAGGAAGGGTCCAATAACGTTGGGCTTGGGCTTGGACTGAGGTGGGTTGATGGCAGGTCTCTGGCCAGAGTGGCGCCCCTGTTCCTTGTCCTGAGGTGGACACTGCATGAGAGATGAACTGAGGCCCTTCATGGTTACCTTTTCCTAAATCGTGAAATGACACCACAAATATCCCCTTAGTAAAGTTGGGGTGAGGGAAGGAATGCGCTCTGCTGATGCCACACAACACCGGGTCAAACCTCGTGATGTAATAATCAAAGAAAAAAAAAGACTGACACATATAACTGGAAATGAGCAAAAATCACTAACTGGCAGCATAATCAACTAGAAAGTTCTACAGAATATTATTAAAAAACCTACAATAGTAAGAAAACTTAATGTCTTGTTTAAATATGCATAACTATAGATAGCGTCTCGTTTACACAATCATGATTCTGAAGCCTTCCTGTAAAAATTTCGTATTAACTTGTTTATAATCAATGCAGGCACTAGCTTTTTGCTCCCTAATTAATTAGCATACCCAAGCAGTTGTTATTAATGGCACCAACATCACAATCAAGATAATCATACACTATGAACCACCTAATGTAAAAGTACAATATAGAATTCTTGCCCCAAAGTGACACATATTTATTAAGCCTCTCAATCTAAATACCAATTCAGAGGAAGCACAGAGACAGAGGAACATGTTAATGGCACATGGGTTAAACCTAACAACATGCAGACTGGGAAACTTCACAAGAAAAACAATGCAGTTTACTTAACAAATTTTGGGGGAAAGGGAAGATCCTTACAGAGAAAGGGATTGAAGAGACATTTCAACCAATCTCAATAAATGGACCACGTTTGGATGTTGACTGTAACAAATGCACTAAAAAATATTGATGACACAAATCAGGGAAATTTGAAAACTGACTAGAGGGTTGATGAAACAGGAATTACTGTAGCTATTATTCAGATGTGGCAATGTTATTGTGATTACTTTTGTGAAAAGACTGCTTATCTTTTTTTTTTTAAAGATTTTTATTGGGGAATTGGGGGATGGGAACAGTGCTGGGGAATTGTGGGAAGGGGAACAGACAAGTTGCTGTCCTTTGGTTCTTCAGTCTAGTTGTGGAGGACGTTGCTTCACTGGGCCACGTTGGCACCATTATTGCGCTCTTCCCGGGTGAGGCACATCAGTCGCCGGCTTCTGGACGGCAGCTCACGCTGGCTGCTGGCTACACACGGTAGCCCATGGCAACCCACTGCCACAGGGACTGCAGCCTACGCCGTCACTGGTGACTTACAGCAGCCCAGCTCCAGGTCGAGCTGTTGTTCACCATCTTAGCTGTAGAGGGCAGTGTCACTGGCCCTCATGTGGGATCCAAACCGGCGGCCCTGCTGCTCAGAGCTGGCGTCCCAAGCCAACTCCTAACCAACGCGCCACTCGGCTGGCTCCACCATTTCATTTTACAGCACTCCAGGCATCATAGCATATCATCCATACATATTTCCATGCTAATCTCCAAAATAAAAAAAATATCTATTGGGTTGTCAGAAAAGCCATGACGCATTTTTGCAACAAAAAACAGAAAAAATACATCATGACTTTTCCAACAGCCCAATAAAAGATAAGCAGTCTTGAGCCGGCCGAGTGGCGCGATGGTTAAGAACTCGCTTGGGATGCCAGAGGGCCCCGGTTCGGATCCCACATGTGAGGGCCAGTGACACTGCCCTCCACAGCTGAGATGCTGAACAACAGCTCAACCTGGAGCTGGGCTGCCATGAGTCGCCGGCGACAGCGTAGGCTGCAGCCCCTGCTGCAATGGGTTGCCATGGGCTACCGTGTGCAGCTTGAGTGGCCGTCCAGAAGCTGGCGACTGATCTGCCTCACCCAGGGAAGAGCGCAATGATGGTGCCAACTTGGGTCAGTGAAGCGACATCCTCCACAACTAGACTGAAAAACAAAAGGACAGCAACTTGTCTGTTCCCCTTCCCCCAATTCTCCAGCACTGTTTCCATCCCCCCAACTCCCCAGTAAAAATCTTTAAAAAAATTAAAATAAAAATAAAAAAGTGGGAAACAATTAGCCAAAGCAATCTTGAGAAAAAAGAACAAAGCCAGAGGTTACCACACTCCCTGACTTTAAATTATACTACAAAGCTACAATAATGAAAACAGTATAGCATTGGCAGAAAAAGAGACACACAGACCAATGGAACAGAATTGAGAGGCCAAAAAGAAACCCTCATGTGTATGGGCAAATAATTTTTGAAAAAGGAGTCAAAAGCATTCACTGGAGAAAAAAAAAAGCTCTTCAATAAATGGTGCTTGGAAAATTGCAAAGTCACATGCAAAAGAACGGAACTAGACTGCTATTTGACACCATACACAAAAAATGAACTCAAAATGAATTAAAGATTTAAATGTAAGACCTGAAACAATAAAACACAAAGAAGAAAGCATAGTTACTAAACTTATGGACCTTGGTCTCACAGAGGATTTTATGAACCTGACCCCAAAGGCAAGGGAAGTAAAAGCAAAATAAAGGAATGGGACTACACCGAACTGCACAGCAAAAGAAACCATCAACAAAACAAAAATGCAGTCAACCAAATGGGAGAAGATATTTGCAAATAACACACCTCGATATGGGGCTAATATCCAAAATAAATGAAGAACACATACAACTCAATATCAAAAAAACAATCCAATTAAAAAATGGGCAGAGAGGGGCCGGCCGAGTGGCGCGATGGTTGGGAACTGGCTTGGGACGCCAGAGGGCCCCGGTTCAGATCCCACATATGAGGGCCAGTGACACTGCCCTCCACAGCTAAGATGCTGAACAACAGCTCAACCTGGAGCTGGGCTGCTGTGAGTCACCTGCGACGGCATAGACTGCAGCCCCTGTGGCAGTGGGTTGCCATGGGCTACCGTGTGTAGCCGGCAGCCAGCGTGAGCGGCCAGCAGCCACAATGAGCGGCCGTCCAGAAGCCGGCGACTGATCTCACCCGGGAAGAGTGCAATGATGGTGCCAACTTGGGCCAGTGAAGCAACGTCCTCCACAACTAGATTGAAGAAAAACGACAGCAACTTGTCTGTTCCCCTTCCCCCAATTCCCCAGCACTGTACCCATCCCCCCAATTCCCCAATAAAAAAAAATCTTTAAAAAAAAATAAAAATGGGCAGAGAGCCTGAATAGACACCTTTCCCAAGGAGACATACAAATGGCCAACAGACATATGAAAAGATGCTCAACTTCATTAGCTATTAGGGAAATGCAAACCACCATGAGACACCACCTCACACCTTTTAGAATGGCTATTATCAACAAGACAAGTAATAACAAGTGTTGGGGAGGTTGTGGAGAAAAAGGAACCCTCATCCACTGTTGGTGGGATTGAAAATTGGTACAGCCACTAAGGAAAACAATATGGAGGTTCCTAAAAAATTAAGAATAGAATTACCATACAAACCAGCAATCCCTCTTCGGGGTATCTACCCACAAAATTTGAAAACATTTATTTGTAAAGATACATGTACTTTTATACCCCTATGATCGCATTATTCAGGGTGGCCAAGATATGGAAACAGTGTCCTTCGATAGATGATTGTATAAAGAAAATGTGGTATAGATACACATGGAATGTGACTCAGCCATAAGAAGAGATGAAATACAGCCATTTGTGACAACATGGATGTGTCTTGAGAGTATCATGCTAGGTGAAATAAGTCAGACAGAAAAAGTCAAAGATCATATGATTTCACTCATATGTGGGATATAAAACAAAGCAGCAAACCAACGAACAAAACAAACAAACTCATAGACAACACAGTATAGTGGTTACCAGAGGGGCAGGGGGTAGGGAGAAGATGAAGAGGGTAAAGGGGGTCAAATAAATGGTGAAGGAAGGAGACTACACTTTGGGTGGTGAGCACACAAAGCAACACACAGATGATGTACTCTAGAACTGTATACTTGAAACATATCATGTTATTAACCAATGTTACTCTCATTTTTTAAAAAGTGTGAAACCACCTGAATGTTCATCAATAGAGAACTTAGAATTCATCCCCGTAATGGAATACTGTGTAGCCACTGAAAAGGTGGTCGATGCACACGTACTAACATGGAAAGAGATCCCGGATAGATTAAAAGGAAAGAAAGTGTAAACTGGTGTAGTATAGAACCCCCAAAAGAGGTGAGGGATATACCTGTAAGGCTACAAATATATGCACACCATGTCTAGATAATTTCTGTGCAGAATCACAAAGAATTTTCATTAGTAGTTACCTCTGGAGGGTGGGGCTGGAAGGACAGAAGAGAGGTTTACTTTTCACCGTGTACATTTCTGCATATGGTTATAGTTTTAAAAGTTAAAAGATTTCCCTGGGTGAGTCAAGAATGACTTTTACAGTTTGTTTGGGTAAACGTTTCCCCCCCCCCAGAATTGTTATTAATAGACCTATGAGCTGCAACTGTTTTTATTCCCTATTACATGTCTGGTGCTTGCCATAAGCTAAGGCATAGA